GGACTGCAAAATCCATGACAGGTAGAAAGGGACAGCTTCCAGTCTTTTGCTGACTGGCTCAAAACAGTTTGTTCTCCACAGGTGCACAGTAGCTGGTTTGAGGGTACTGTGACCATTTGATGGTACTGACCCAGACCAGAGTGCCTGGGTTCACATGTAGAGGCTGATTTCCCACAGGGACAGGCAGATAACGTACAATCAAAGCTGCAACCAAAACTGGCACCAGACCCTGCTGGTCTCTTCACCATGACTTTAAGTCCAGCAAGGACTCCTTACAGCATCTCACTGTTGCTTATGAAAGGAATAGTGGTGCTTTGAAATAAGAGCTTGCTTTCTCAAAATCAAAATAGGGCTTCACACTACAAAATCACCAACACATCACCCTCCCAGAATCAGGCCTTTTAAGATTGGACCCTCACAGTTCTTAAATATTTGCAGGTGCTTGATCAGAGGTGAAGCTATAGAGCATGAGAAAATCAGACTAAGGATATGACTGGGTACCTGCAACAGTAAAGGAAAACCCCCTTTACTCCCTGCTACTGCAAGTGATCTTCGTGTTCCAGAAAACTACTGTCATGAACTACATCTGCCATGTCAGTTTGTGACCTGATTATGTATCAGTCAAGAGGAACAGACTACCTACATTTAACAGGGAAAGACAAAGGTTAAATCAAAATAATTGGTATAAGATGGCATTATTTTAAAAAGACGGAAACATTGCTCCTGTTACTTTGGTTTTGAAACAAAAACAAGTAAATTGATGTATTTAATATGCTGACATAAGAGAGAGGAAAATTATGCATAAGACTTTTCCCCCCCTCAACAAATTCAATGTAAATGGAGAAAATCCCAGCTCCCATACCCTCTTCTAATATTTAAATATACTTAAAAGAATTGGTAAGAGAGGTAATTTGATGATTTAACTGATTTTTTGCTCTTCTTTGGTCTGCCAGTTCTTCTGTTACACAAAAGTCAGATTCAAATTTGTATAATTTTAGAAGTCACATAGCTGTGTCCCTAGCTGGAGGCTATTTCAGTCACTGAGGGCTGCAAGTTGAAGATGCAATAGCTACGTGTTTGCTCTTCTTCTGGAAAAGAAGCTCCCACTGAGGGACTGCAGCAGATGAACTATCAATTAATCCCTCTTTGTAGTCGAAGTTCTAAGTGTGAAGGTGAGGATTACTGAGTCATTCCTTGCAGGGCTGAAAACCCTAGTTGATTCTAGCATAATTAAGTTTCCTCTTCACAAAGAAAGAGAAAAGCAAAACAGCAGAATTGAAGAACAAAACATACGTGCAGACTACAACAAAGCTTTTTCAACATGCACAGTTACAAATTCCTGTGCCATTTTGTAACTGTCAAGTCTTAATTAAAATACGACATTTCTCTGACTCATGGTCAGAATGTAGGATGCATGTACATTATTCACATGAATATTAATGTTTTCCCAGGTAGGAGGCTGAATTGCTCAGGGGATTTATAATCATATCATGTATGGAAACTTCTTGGGGGTCTTTTTCTTTTTTGGACTTCTTCCTTATTCTTTCAAATTTCAGTCAGATCATTAACAATTAAGGGTTGCAAGAATCATTTTATTAGTCTGTGTGATAGGAGTCCAGCCCCTCAAATCTGCAAGGTGGAGCTCTATGTGTGTTCATGAAATGTTATGGCACACAGAGAAAGAGGAACACAGAAATGTGCTGAAAACATCCCTTCCAACACTAAGGACATAACCACCTGCTCTGAAGTGCTGGAACAAACAAGGATAGTCCTCCTGAAAGCTCTTAGAAATTGACGGAAGATGGAAAGATGTTAATACAGTGACCAGAGAAATGAGACATGATCTTTTCTAGCTACCAAGAGAATCACCTGCTTAGACTACCACCACAGGGACCTTTAAAATCCTGATCCTCATCAGAAAGTCTGTCTTTGTATCACTGACTTTCAAACAAAATCTGTGGACAAACTGATGACTCAACTTGCGTAGAAAGAAACCAGCAGAGATGCTCTTCTAGATTTGAGCATAAGTGCAGAGAGAAATGAGGATGCAAATGCATCTGAGCAAACTGTGAGAGTCATCCTGATACCTTAGAAGGAAAGGAATTAGACAAGCTAGAAAACACTACGTGATTCAAGAACACAAAGTAATAAAAACTCAGAAAGTCAGTGTCTGGAGCTCAAGAGAAAGAGGCTTAAAGGACCAGGGAATTTAGTAAGCTGTTAACAGCTAATGAAACAGCATCACTGGACAAAAATCAGAACTTACCCCAGCGAAGAAACCTCCTGCCTTCTAGGAGGGCTTGAACTCTCTTCCTGAAGAAGTTTTTAAAGACAAAAATTATTGCACAGGAAAGGAATCAAAAGGCTGAAGCATAAAATTAAACATCTAGCAATGAACACACAATATGACAAATAAAGGATGGATGCCATTCATAGGAAGATGAATCATCAGGTGTTATTAAGAAGGCTGGAAATTTGATGCCTTAATTGCTTCAGGTCTTCGGTGAAAGGGACAAGCACAGTCAGGCAGCTGACAGAATTAATACTGGATTGTTGTGGGGGGGTTTTAAAGAAAAAAGGTTCAGAAAGTTATTAAAAAGAGGCTGCAGTAAAGAAAAAAAAGATGAAAGAAATAACCACCTTATCTGTCTGTTAAGTCAGATGGCACTAAGAATTTGAGAAATATTGAAGACTTGAAAAAGACAAAGCAGGTATTTACGCTTAAAAAACAGTAAGAGAAAGCCTTGTATAATTATAAAAGCACTAACTTCACACACACACACTCCAGTTCCCTGGGGATTGAAGACTGGAACAAATAATCAAATTATTTGCAAATCTTCTAGAACATGAAAAGGAGAGAAATAAGTGTGAGCATGGTTTCATCAAGAGTAGAACTGTGTCAAATGCATTTAACTTCCTTCTGTGACAAGCTAAATTATTCTAATGGGTAGAGAAAGAATAATAGAATCTTTATACCCTGGGATCTGGATGAAGCTGTTAAAATAGATGCAAACATACTAGTAAAAAATTGATAATCATGGTAGTCAAATTCAAAGAATGTACCAAGCAAGATCCCTCAGGCAACTCTGGTAGCACCCAGACAATCAGCTTTGGTTTTGTCACAGACAACTTGAATGATTTGCTCACGTAAACAGTAAGGAAGACACAGACAACAAAGGGCTTACAAAATGGAAAAAAAAAAACAAAGCCAAAAAAACCAAATTCTCTAAGGACAAGTGCAAAGCCATATTCAGCTGTAATCCAACACAAAGATAGGCTATGCAACAACAGACAAAACCCTTTTTCAGAAAGAACCTCAGCTCTGGAAAGTGTAAAAGGCTAACCATACATCAATGATAGCCTGTGATAAAAAAAGCACCATCACAGCAGGACAGCCAGTCTATCTTGGAATATCAGGACCACAGGCAGGAGAACAAAGTCTTGGTTGCTCTATAGTGCACATGAGCAGGCTCTCAGCTGGATTTCTACATTCAGCTTTGGACACTGCACTTCAGGGAAAACAAAGAAATGAGTAGGAGAATTTAAAAAAGGCCAGAGTGATGGAAAAGTGCCTAAAAATCCTGGCAAGAAAAGACTAAAAGAAAAAGGGTCATCTAGTTAACACAAGAAGAGCTAATGGGGCTTTGTCCTGTTTTTGCAGTAGCCCTTTACAATTCCAGTATTTATTGTCCTAATCATAAGACATGGATTTATGTGGAACAAGAGAAACCCAGAGAAGAGGTAAGGAAAAGTCTTTGGACAGAAAAGGCAGCTAAGCCCCAGGGCAGGCTCCTGGAAAGTTCCAATTCCTAAATTTTTTGGTTTAAGGGAAAATCAGATCAATAGTTGTCAGCAGTGCTCAAGGCAAAGCAGATAATGACATTTTGCTATCAAAACTAAACTACTCTTTCAGTAATAATCATCTCAAAGCATGTCATCCTTCCAATTCAGCAGAATCACAAAACAATGCTGAACCACCTTATGGCCCTTCTACCCTCTCAGAAAAACAGAATGTTCTTCATTTTCCATGTTATACTGAGAGTTTTGACCTAAATCCTCTCTACTCAGAAGTGAAGCCATTGTTAGATGAAAAAACATTTACAATCCAGATAGAACAAGAGAAAATCTATTTTGCCTCCCAAGATGCAAAGCAACAACAATCAGTTCTTGAATATTTGCAAAAACCCACAAGAGAAAGTCCTGATTGTGACAGAAACTGTAAAATCTCTTATAAAAACAAAACAAGCCATCTCTAGAAGAAAGTAGTATTTCTAAGTGAAATATATTAACTCTGCACTTGGGCAAGCAGGCGAAATTGAGGGAACATGAACACCATATGTTATCTTTCTGTGGGCATACAGATGGATACAACCATAAGAATTTTTTTAAAAATTCAACTTATTTGGTTCTTAAATACTGTTCTCTAAAACAAGAGTGTTTATACTGTTATAGAAAATGTCACAACCTTTTCCTTTTGACTTCCCAAATCAAGACTATTTATTTTTAAATCTTACTTTCATGAGATGGAAATACCAAGACTTACTATACACCCACTTTCAATAAGTATATATAAAAATATTTGATGCAAAGTTTCCCAAGGAACATTTTCCCACGACAAATAATACAGATAACTCCTACAAAACTAACAAGCTATCCTCAAGTTGCCTTGGGAAAAAGTCTTCATTTCAAACAATTTAGAATAAACCATTTAAGTCCTAGACACCATTATTATTATTATTATTATTTACAAATTCATAGCTAATTTCTCAGCTTCTGCATATTTTCTGATATTCACCTCTAGTTCCACACAATGATGTTAAAAATGTCTGGTAGAATCAGAGAGCTCTAAAACCACCACAACATGCTGCAGTCCTACACAATGCATTCGATAAAATTTTTGTCTCCAAAACACTGAAACTCTAAGAGGTGCCTTACAACGAAGACGTGAAACCTTGAGCCACAGCAGCTCAGAAAAGGAGCAAAGCAATGCTCCATCCTACCTGTTGAAGCTGCAGTCGGACTTTGCTAATGGCTCTAATCCAATGGGCTCTTGCTGGAGGAAACGGTGGTGGCTCGATGTCACCCTGGTAGCTTGAAAGCAAGAAACAGGAAATCACTGCATGAAACATACTTACCTGTAGCATTAAAGATTGAACCATATAGTGTAGTTACAGCTTCAGCTCTGAAGGAACAACAGGCTCCAGTCAGCAGAGCTGTGCATGTGCTCTGGGAAGTGAGCAGCTAAAGGACAGCTTTCCTTAAACTCAGGAACCACCTTGGAAACTGATGAACTTTATGATATGAGCTGTACACAATCCAAACCCAGGAGGAAGATGATGTTTGTGCAAACATGAGGGGAAAAAAAAAAAGCAGTCTGTGACACCAGATCAAGCCAATGCAACACAATGGGATCATAATTACAGACATAAAGAGGCATATGGAAGATTTTATATCCCGATGTCTGCTGCAGTTCTCTTCTAGCCACTGCCCCTTCCTACTCCTCCTGCTACAAATTTACAGCCCCTCTTTATTGGAAATACTGGCCACAGGCCCCAGCCCTGAATTTCCCCTGTGCACTGAACCTCTGTCACCCCACTCTTTCCTACAGCTTTTCAAGAGAGCAGACAGATCTGCCACCAACACTCCACCTCAGTGCCCCACAGAACATCTTGCAGTCCCTAAGCTTATGATACCTTAGGCTTTTGGTTGCATTCCTGCTTTTGTATTTTGCTAAGGTGTAAATAACGAAAACAAACAGCTTCTCCTGCCTGCAAAGCACCCACCCCACAGTGCTGACTGTATAAAACAAGCCCATAGATGAGACCAAAACACATCCATGCTACAAGTCTAGCTCAGGTGCAGCTCTAAGGATCAACACTCAGAGCTCAGTTCCATGCCTGTTCCATGGAGACAGGACAGCACTGCCAGAGGGTGGAGAGAAAGGGAGCCAGTGAGGCAGGAGCATCCAAGTTAGATGCCAAAATTAGCCTGAAGTAGACTATGTGAATAACCTTTCCTGTGAACAAATATAGGCCAGCCATTCTGGGACAAGACTCCTGCTGCTCTGTAAGGAAAAGAGGAAAGTGAATCAGAGTTTAAAAACAGTTTAACACTTCTCTCTTCTTGTTTTCCTCTTTTCATCTTTAGTGTAAGGCTTGCCTACACATGAACTCCTGTAGTTAATTCTATCATCCAAGCAGTGACACTAGCTGTACCCTCCAAAGGATACAGACAGGCAGACATCTTCCCATGGATCTAACTGAACCATATTATAAAAAAATCCCTCATGCTTATGAAAGTAAAACCACATCCAGTGGCTGCAATGACTTGATTACCTCAAGAAAAAATGTCATTCCCAAATTTAAGTAGTGAAATTTGAAATTTCTGTAAAACTTGTGCAAAACCCAGTACTCTACTTACCCAAACTTAGATTAAATACTTTTGAAGCCTGGAAAGCCGAAGTACAAGGACAAGAAAAGCTCCCACAGTGAGTCAGAGCAACATGTCTATTCATGCTCCACAACCCACAACTACATAAACACTAACTCTAATGGTGGTAGTCTACAAGAATGGAACTAGTGAAGCTCTAACCATGAAAACACGTAATTCTTGGTTGTACAAGCATAAACTTGATCCCACATGAGCAATGGAAGCAGCTATTTTGGAGCCAGAATACGTTCATCAAACCAGACACAGAAAATCCAGCAAATGAGCTCCAAGCTGGTGTTCCTCTTCACACACACACAAAAACCACAGTTTTAGCAAGTGTTCCTCTTTGCACACAAGGCAAACGCGGCTTCAGCTTAGCCAATGTCCCATAAGTAACTGGTCCTCTAGAACAGATGTTTCACAGATCAGCAACACCTGTAGTTGTCAGAAAAGGCTGCAAGAACAACGTACTTGCAGCCTTTAATAATTTGCCCTGGAAAACAGCAAATAGAAGAATCCTCTTTGAACTAGCTGAAAATAATTTGTTAATACCTTCACCTACCTCCTTTGGACTCCTGCATCAACATCCTTGGGCTTCTCAACTTCCAGAGGTAACTCAGCTGCAGAATGGTCTGCAGGTTTTTCCTCAGTTTTACAGAACTTCTCCTCTTCTCCTTTGCCATGAGACTCTTCTTGCTCCTTGAGCCACGCCTGACCATCCTTCTGGTAGCTGCTCGAACTGTGGTAAGAGTGATTTGACTGCCTTTCCTGGTGATCATCCTCCTGCTCAGAGCCGTGGGCACTTTCATGGGAATGTTCCAGCTCACTGAGGTGAGAGCTTTCCTGGCTGACATTGCAAGAGGAGCCGTATCTACTACTGCCAGCAGGACTATGAGAGAGTAAGAAAGTCCCATCAGAAAAAACAGTGGCTTGGAAAAACACAAAACAACGTGTGCATGTAAAAAACTGAGCCATATATGAAATACTACTGAAAGGCATGCTATGAAGTCATACTTAACTATTATATTCCTATGATTATTATATAAATGTAGACTTGTGAACCTCAAAAGTTTGGTAGGCAGTAGAAATACTCAATACACAATCCACCAGTATATAGACCATATATACTTATTTTGTATATATATATATATGTATATGTGTGTGTGTGTATATATATACATATGTATATATGTATACACTCACATATGCTCTATACATGGGTCTTTGTTGCACCAACTACTGCATCACCTTACACCACCTACAAACTGCAGTGAAGATATTCTAATAACCAGATGGGAATAATAATGGAAACACAGCAATTCAGAGTGAAAGTGTTTCTGTCTTCTGCAGTTTTGCTGCAGTTGGAGTCTTTATCACATTTATTTAAGGTGACTGTTGTTAAAAAATAAAGTTAACTTCACTTTTATGTATTAAAAGTTTATGATAAAATATGTTGCAGTCAAGATTAAGACCGTCAAGACCTTCAACTTACAAACTTCTACAAAAGTCAAAAAATTTTTCAAAGAAAAGCCATACACAGGGGTGTGACCTCTGTGATTCAAGACACCACTTTCAGGACTGAATTCCTAGAATCCTCAAACAAAATACAGCAGACGGAGATTTCTCATGCAGTCAGGAAAACTATGGCCAAGAATTAAGCAACACTCATATTTTTCTCTTGCAGTCTTGGAAGAATTTGGAGCCAGGAAGTTCTGTGAGTGCAGAGTTGCAGATGTATGATCAGAGGAACAAGTTTCACTTACATTATACAGAATTATATATATATACTTAAATTTAAGTTTAGCAGGCCTCTGTTTTGATTTTTAAGGGCAATTGCAGCTTAGCACATGCACAGGACTGAATGCACTCATAAAATACTGATACCTTCCTCTAGGGACTTTCATAACTGCATGAAATAAATTTTGTACCTATTTTAGGAAGACCAAGCATTAGAATACCTTCACTAATATTTCTGAAAGTGTTTTAATATATTCAGTAATACAAAGTGAACCTAAGTAGTTCTATAATGTATCATCAGTAAGTTAAATCTCTCTCTAAAATTTAAAATCTTTACCTTGCATTTTGAGAACAAAATATTCCTCCCTACCAATACATTCTACCTCTTACTTTCTTCTTATCAAATGCAATATTATTATCACTAAACAAGAAAGCAAAGTGAATTGTATGCAGCAGAATTAACACACAAAGACTGTAACTTCTCAAAGGCTAATGAAATTAGGACTAAGAACATCTCATTCAGTGGGACAAATTATAAGAACATGGGAAATTCAATTACACTTACAGAAAAGGAGTGGGAAAAGGTGAGAAATGGTCTAAAGGCTTGCTGTAACTAGTGACTGCAGTTTGCCATATTGTCCATGACAACCACCAGAGATATCACAAACACTACAACAGGTAGGGGACTGGGACTGAGCTACAAACATCAGACACCAAGGCCACTCTCTACTGCTGCAGCATTGCATTATAAATGGTCAAATCCCATTTATTATGCCTCATTTGTAACTAGCCTTTTCTCATTCAGCTGTTCCACGCTATGCAGATCTGCAGCCAGTGTGTCAGGATGCAGTACTGCTCCATCAGGAGCAGGATCAAGCCCAGTTTCTCTCTCCTCCGGCTTGTCTGGCACATGCTCCTCTGCCTGATCTTCTTCCTGCAGTTCACCTGAAATCACATTCTGTTGATCTTCTGACTCTTTGTCAAGCTTCTCTCCCAGCTCTTTGCTGGATGTATCACCAACAGTGCTTGCACCAGATGGCTCTTCAGAACGCTCATTGTCTACAGCGTCAGGCTGCTTTGAAGACAACCTCACTTCTATAATTGCGTCAGTCACTTGATCCAAGACTGCAGATTTCGAGTTTTCTTCTGAACTGACTGTTCCTAACACCTTGTCATCTGGTTTTGACAAAGCCTGTGGTGGTGCATGTGGCTCCTTTTTGGCAGAGGTCTCCTTGATATCTTTTTGCCAGGGAAAGGAGAAATCTAGCTTTTTCCCAAATACTGCTCCTTGGGCACTCTCTGGCTTACTCACCTTTTCTTCACCACCTCCTTCAAACAGAGACATAGAGAGTTTCTTAAAACTGGACACGAGGCCCTCATCTGTTCCTGCTTTATTAGCAGAAGGTGGCTGCTGAGAGAAGAATGACCCAAAAGGTTTTCCACTATCAGAAGATGACATAAAGCCAAATTTTGGCAAACTGGGTATGTTTGGTATTTCAAAGACAGGTTTACTACTGCTTGTATCTGGAGCAACACTATTAACTTTACCATGTTTCTTCACGTCAGATTTGGAAGCAATCCCTTCTGCAGGCACTTCACTAATTGTTAAGTGTTTTTCCTGTTCAGCAGTTTGCTTTTCTACCTCACTTGTCTTCTCTTCATTCGGCTCAGGCAGATGAACACCGGGCTCATCAGCTGGAGCTGTGGGTTTGCTATCATTACTACTGATCAAGTCCTGCTGATCAATACCAGCACTGGCCTGATCCCCTGCAACAGCAGGCTCCGATTCAAGTGCAGCACTCTCATCTAACAGGGAAAGGCTTGTGTCTGCCCTGTTAGTTTGGGCTTCCATTTCCAGTGCGAGCTCATCAGTAGAGCCAGTGTGAAGGATGTCAGTGGCTGCCTTGTCTGCAGGAGCAGCTTCTTCCTCTGCTACACCTGAAGGCCCTACATCTGGTTGGGAAGTACCTACATCAGCCTGGTCAGGAGCCTCAGTCTGCACTGCATCAGCTGCACCACTGAGATCAGACTGGCATGGCAGAGCATCTACCACCTCAGAGGGCTGTGCTTCACTATCCTGCTGCAGCACCTCAAGGGCTTCATTCTCACTAGAGACTCCTGTTTCTGGAGTGGCACTCAAAGGTTCCTCTTTAGAGGTTTCCAAGCTCTTTTTCTCCTCAGTTTCTGTTTTCATAGGAGATTCTTCTGTGGAGTTGTCTTCTGTTGAAGCAGGTACATCCTTCTTCACAGAGGTAGAGACATCTGTTTTAGACTCTCTGGCTGCAGCTGTATTTTCTGGCTCCCTGAAGTCTTTTGCTGGAACAGACCCAGTGACATCTTTCACATCAGTCCTTTGAGGTTTAGGGGTGGATTTTGGAGGCATCTCTTTTGGAGATTCTTTTGGACCTTTGAAGATGCCAAATAAATCATTTGTGAAAGCTGGTGCTGGGCCACTTGGGAGGGATGAGAAACCAAAGAAAGAGGAGCTCCTCTTCTGTGCAGGTGGAGGTGCAGTAGCTTGAGGTTGAGAAAAGAAACCAGAAAATGTTTTAGGTGGTTTCATTTTTGTCATGAAACTTGAAAACATTTCAACTGAAGAATCCAGAACCGATTTATCACTCTCAGGTTCCTTTGGTTTGCTTTGCAAATTAGGTGCCTCTGGCATTTTAGGAGGAACACGTGGCTGTTGTGCCCTTTGTAATCTGTCCATTTGTTCAGGTACTTTTTGTTCTGTCAACTCATTATGTACACATACTTCTTCAGAGACCACTTCATTTTTCATGTCACTCATACTATTTAAGTCATTTAGACCCTGGGAATCCACCTTATCACCTGAGGCCATGCTATGATCAACCTTTTCAGAAGTTTGCTCTTTGGAAGAATAAGGCTCTTCATCAGTAGGAAATGCAACACTGTCCAATTTCTCCGTATTGCCCAAAGCATCTTCTGCCCTTGGGGAAACACTCTGCTGGTCCTGAGAACCCTCCTGCACAGTGGGAATCTGAAGGCAAGGACCAGGAACAGACAAGCTGGTTACTGCAGTGTCCTTGGTCTGTGGAAGCTTTCCTAAGCCACTCTCTTCATTGGCCCGTGGAAGCTTTTCTGAGCCACTCTCTTCACTGGCCTGTGGAATCTTCTCTAAGCCACTCTCTTCAATGGCCTGTGAAAGCTTTCCTAAGTCACTCTCTCCACTGGCCTGTGGAAGCTTTCCTAAGTCACTCTCTCCACTGGCCTGTGGAAGCTTTCCTAAGTCACTCTCTCCACTGGCCTGTGGAAGCTTTTCTAAACCACTCTCTTCAGTTACTGCAGCGATACTTTCTACATTGTCCACTGCCATCTTTTCTGATTTATTGTCTGGGATCATGAGGTCATTAGACGTTTGTTTGCCAGTCACTGCTGCAATAATATCATCAACTTCTTTTTTGTTGTCTGCATCTTGTTGCACGGTAGAACTGCTGGTTTTGACACCAGAGTCGGTGGGAACACTTTGCTTCATATGTTTAGCATCCACTGTTTTAGCTGGTTTTGTATTACTCTCCTGTCTAGGAGCAGTGGATGGCTTAGAATTCACTGGTTTAGCTGGTTTTTCCTGTCCTGGAGCAGTTTGTGGCTTTTCATCCAAAAAGGATGTCAAATTGAAGAAGCTAAAACTAGTACTTCTTTGAGGTGCACTCTTTTCAGGAGCTGGACTACTGGAAAAGAAGGAGGGCAGATGAAAGAGCCCCTCTGTTTCTTGTTGCTTCCCACCAGCAGGAGCAGCAGCAGGTGCTGAAGGCTTTGGTTCATCTGATCCAGTGAAGAAGGAGAATATGCTCTTACTGGCTGGCTGGGATTTCGGAGCAGTGATATCAGAGAAGCTGAATGGCAAACTGAAACCTGACTCTTTGGGCGTCTGGTCTGGCTTTGGTTTTGCCCGATTAATTGTGTCTCCTACACGACCTCCCTGCTGCTTTGGTGCGACTGTGGGTGTGCTGCTTTGCTGCCCAGCTGGCTGGCCCAGCTGGCTTCCTCTGGGACCTACACTCACTGGCTTCTGGGAAACATTTCCAGGAGGCACTTTTTTACTCTCAGGAGACTTCTCCATGGCTTTTTCACTTCGTTGTTCCTCTTGCACCCTGGGGCTAAGAGAGACTGGCTTGTCCATGCCTTCTG